GGGGGGGGGTCATTTTTACGAATCAGGTTCTAGAGAAAATTCTTGAATGGAACATAAGTGTCAACAGGTGACATTGAATGGCACTGCTGTGTACGCGTCGACAGCTCTCGCCGCGTCATGGGGTCACAATTGTCTCATGTAACCTCAACGCGTAGATTTGGGCCAAGTACAGTACGTGGCCATCACGGTGGTGAGAGCATGAGTGACAATGGCCATCTCCTGCTAATCCTTTGGTCGACAAACAGGGCTAATTTCCTGCGGGATCTTTGTGCATCATGACCGGATTCACCAAACCACTTGAGCATCCCCTGATGGTATCCTAAATACTCAGCTGGATTACGTCCTCGTCAACTGCATGCTTTCTTTTCCGCAATTCAATTTCTCCGAATCAGTGAAGGTCCTGGCAAAGACAAAGATCCGATTCTAAGGGGAAGGTATAGTTCAACAGATGCTTCCATATATCTTTCTGACCCGAAGGTACTGTTCTGGTAGCATGGGAAAATAATGTTGCTATCCGCCGGCTTCCTTAGGTACATCGGTGGCGAGAGCCGGCTTATTGTTCAGCCCTCGGGAGTCAAAAATTTGTTGTATTTTACGGTTGGCATCGACAGCATATGTGCCTCAGTCAAACTACGTGACCAATTTTAAACAAAGTTCCGCGATGACCATGAGGTTATTAGAGGCAATGCAGGCGTCACGTCTGATCCGACTCCTCAGCAGCGAGCTCTGCCATTTGCGGTTGATGAAGACGTAGTCCGGCTGGGTGTTTATGCTTACATCCAGCGACTTCCAGGTGGTTTGGTGAATAAGCTTATGAGGAAAAAGAGTCCCGCCAAAAATCAAGCTGCTTGTTGCGCTGAAACTGAGCAGGCGTCTGCGGTCGTCATTATCGCTGTCACTGACCATGACTGCCTAGCACGCCTGCGGCGTTTCGCGCCCACCCTCACGTTGAGGTCGCTGGTGGCAATTATGAGGTTCTGAGGCAACAAAATGCCTACAACCAACTGCAAGCAATCACAGAAAGCTTCTTTGTCGTTTTCACTTGACACGTTTAATGGGGTGCAGGCGAGAATGACATTCAGCACCGCCTGTTTGAAACTCACGCGGCAGAACAGGACTTTCGCGAACACCTGTTCCATGGAAATGACCCTTCGGCTCACCCAGGGTACAACAAGACACGGCGGCGTTGTCCACTGTGTCTTGAACATCAAAATGACCACTCGTCCTGCTGGTCAAGCGTCTCCTCTCCCGGGAGGAAGCGAGCTTGTTTGACCGGCAGTAGATCGAGTTGGTGCCGACGACCCGTAGGCAGACATCTAACTTACCTTCGTCAGACAAGAAAGATTGGCCTTTCATTCAGACTTGCTTTTTTACCGCATTACTGCCTATGGCTCAGCCTACAAGGGAACTGTGGCGAAAACTCCATCCAAGCAATATTGTTGAAACTAAGGTACACGGATGGGTTTAGTAATAATCTGACAGTAACTCGATATTAGCGGATTATTACTAAGCCTATCTTTACACTTGCTTAGGCACTGTTGACTGCGTGGTTCAGTTTTTGCCGTGGCTTTGATGTTGGTTGATACAGGTAGTAATGCAGTAGAAAATAATAATCTGAATTCAACAACATTACAAAAACTAATGTATGCGTATGGATTTGGTAATAATCCGGTAGTAACTCGGTATTACTGGATTGGACTGAAATGCAAATTAGTGTGAGTTCTCACGGGGTGAAGAACGAATCAACTTCAGTCTTTGCCGGTATGGTCGGAATGTCATTTTGGACAGTAACATCTATGCGTTGGTATGGTAGCATATTACAAGTACTCAAGAACATTACACCAACAACAGCATTTTTCAT